ATCAGAAAGAGTTTGGTTCTGGGGCGCCTGGGTGGCTCAGTCATTAAGCATCTGCCTTCGGCTCAGGTCATGATCCCAGGGTCCTGGGACCGAGCCCCGCATCGGGCTCCCTGTTCAGCGGGAAGCCTGCTTCTCCCTCTGCCACTCCCCCTGCTTGTGTTCCCTCTCTCACTCTCTCTCTCTCTGTCAAATAAATAAATAAAATCTTAAAAAAAAAAGAAAGAGTTTAGTTCCATCCCATTCAGTAAAGCTATTATTTGTGAAGGCCCACTATGTACCAGGTTAGGTATATCGAGTTTTTTAAAAAAAAAAGTGCTGCTGATCTCAAAGATTTCCTTGACTCCACAAGGAGAAACACATAAACCAATATATTATAACACAGTTTGGAAGGTATCAATACAAGCAATGATTATTGATGGTGATGATTATGATGATACTCAAAAGGCTCTGGACATCATTCATTCAATAACAGGTATTTATTTAACACCCACTATGGGGGTGAATAATTATGGTGGATGAAATGAACATGGTTCATGCCCTTGTGGAGTTTATAAGGGGAGTGAAAGGCAATAAATATAACAAACAAATTCGTACTTTTAAATCATGGTAATATCAGTGAATAAAACCAACAGGGAGAATAATGGGGAGGGGATACCTGCTCAGGTTGAAAAGTGTCTGTTTGGAATTAGATATTTTAGGTAGAAATCATGTATCTGCAACTTCCTCACGGTATGATCTTAAGGAAATTACTTAGACTTAGTTTCCTCAAAATGAGAATAATAATTGTACTAAGATCTAATGTACGAATCAAATGAGATAATAATTATATAAGGATTAGAGAACTCCTGTTCTACACGGTGAGCACTCAGTAAAGCTTGGCATCGTCATTCTATTACTGCATCACTTTTTAAACTTCTTGAGCTTCCAATGCGTCTTCCATAAAATGAAATAACAACATCGAACTAAGAGGGCTGTGAATATACTCTGCCTGATGCATCATATGGTGGGATTATGAAGGTGTTCATGTGATTATCACCATCATTCTTGACATTGTTTAAGCTCAGTATTGTGTTTCTCATAGCAAGCAGTTGTGGATGAAATATATTAAAAATATATGCTTCATTAAGAATAAGTTGATAGGAGGTTGAGGTATCCAGGTGGGTAGCTGCTCGCCACATGTATCTGCTAGCATGGACATTTCAGGTACAGAAGATTTCCATCATCATAGAAACTTCCATTGAACAGTAAGAATCTGGAATTCTAGACACAAAAGAAAAAAGTTTATACTGTATAAGGACACCTCAGCACAAGATATTAGGGGTCTGGTGGGCCTTTGGAGGCCACTTTAACCATTCCTCTGGAATATGTGCTGTTAACCTCTCATATTTGGGCTGCATATGCAGTTTTTAAACCATTTTTGCACATCCATTACTTCATTTGTCCTTAACAACCATCCCTGAAGTAGGAAGGAAGGATATCATTATCTCCACTTTACACTGGAGAGAAATAATTAACAAGAGTCGTAGTAGTACCAACTGCCGACACTAATTGAATGCTCACCTCTGGTTTTATATTAAATATGGTGCCAAGTGCTTTAGCGCTTTTAATGAAATAACAAAGCTCAGAGAGGTGAAGTGACTTAACTGTATACACTCAGTGAACTGGGGACATGATTTGCACTTCTAGCCCAGTGCTTTCCAGCACATCTCTGTTCTTGTTTACGTGAGTTAAATTCCGGCTCTCCATTATTAGAGACAAAGTTTGCCCGGTGACTAATTTGTCAGAGCAGGACATGCAATAGGGGCTCAGCAATCAGGGGCATGTCTACTTGATCTTCCTACCCATGGAACTTCCAAACGGCTTGCCCTCTCTCCTGCTGAAACAGTGCACTGCATGAAGATGGACTTTTATTCCCATTCAGCCTTGTGTCCTTGTCAGCAGCTGCAGGAACAGCTGCTCTCCTCTCGGGGCTACCCTCTCCCCCTGCTCCCTGCTAATTGCTACCAACTAGTAGAGCAGCTATGAATATTATAGGCCTTGTCCTCTTCAACAGCCTCCATTCAGCTGTTGTTATTCCCGGCCCTTCTTGTTCAAGAATTCAGATCTGTTCTCTTTGGGTGATTAATTCTAGAATCTAATTGTTGGGTATTTCAAAACCCCATCCAACACACTTTAAATCACTGTGTTGTATATAACCTGAAGCATTCCTAAGCAGGCATAAGCCTGAAAAAAGTCACCAATAATCTGAAATATGTTTACTGAGGGCCTATTATGTGCCAGACACTGAACTGGGCACCAAGTCTGACCCTGAATTTTCAGGCCCAAGGGGAGGCCTGGTCCCCCAAGAAGGACCACGTGTCCTATGTCTAAATACGTAAAGTTATAAAATCAAGCTAACTGTTAAATAAAATATAGTCTATCCTCTACCATTGACAAATCTAACTTCAAAAAAACCCAGACGCCAAGGTTCTACTTTAGAATTCTCTAGCTCTTCAGAGTTCCATGCTGCAAGAGGACTCAGTTCACATGCACATAGATACTTCCACCCACATGCCCAAGCCCATCCAGACCTCCACAGGAAGAGACTCCGTGGCCACTCGTCAAGCCTAGGAAGCATAGACAAGCAGGTACACACCTGCAACTCTTGGAAGGGTGGATGTGGGAAAGAGGCTTGTGCAGGGTTGGGGCAATGTGTATATATGTAATGCCTAACAAAACATCAGGTATATAGCAAGATATATCACTAATTAATAGCTATTATTACACCATCATATATGGAATGAACTATGTAGAGTTTATTTAAAAGCTACATAGGCATAGTACATACAACAAAGCACAAATAATATATCATCTGGCTCCAGCATTATTTCAGTGCCTTCTCACTAGGGCCTCTAAAATTCCTTACCCAGGACTAACTGGAGCATTAGTTCCTTTCCTCTTTTTCATTAGCCTTGTGTTTTGTAGCAGTCCACTTTTTGGTCCATGGCTATGAACATCTCCTTCCTACCACTGAGGACTGGACACACTCTGGCATTAAGGTTGATGCCACTTAGAGCTATTTCTCATTCCTATTTTCAGTTGTCCAAATTTTTTACTTTAAATACAGACCCTTTATTGATTGCACTAATATAGCTCTAATTAATACTGTTTTCCCAAAGCATGAGGACTGTGCTAGTGTATGAGAAGTCAAACTCTCTGCTCAGTCCCCACTGCCTCCCCAGGGTTTTGTTCTTTCCTTATAATACATCATGGAAGTAGATTACCTGTATCTCATTCTACATATGTGGGAGGTGTGTGTGTGTTTGTGTGTGTGTAAAGTATTTTTCTCCAACCTTTGAACCAGGAACACACACACACACACACACACACACACACACACACACACGCACACACATGTTTTTTTCTAATCCATTTCAACACAGTATTTTTTTTCTATTGTAAATGCTTCTGTCTTAGAGAATGTAGGTTATGAAGAACAGAATACTTCAAGTCTTGTTAAAAAATTTCTTTATTTGTTTTTGATGAATGAAGAGGAATTTCATGGAACCCAAGTATAGAAAATCTCTCCTCTTCTTCTTCTTTCTCTCCCTAGGTAAGACCTTTAACCCCTGGTCCCTCAAGTAATAGCCTTCATGAGATTTTGGATTGGTGAAATCCCAAACTTGGGTCCCATCTTTTTTTTTTTTTTTTCCCAATAATCCGCACAAGGTCTTTTTTCAGGCAGATGGTATCTCACATAGTATGATATACATGGATCAGGGAGGGAGGGAGAACAGACAGCAGCTACAGGGGTGTGGGGAGGAGGGGCTGTAAATGTACAAAGAATTCAGGTGTCTTCAGGGCAAGACACAGAGGTTTCGATGGGAGCGGTGAGGTGAGGGAGGCCGTGAGTCACCCCTCCTGGGAGGGGACAGGCTCCACTGTCGCATTTGTCGGTTTTTGAAAATAAAAACAGGACCGAACCAGCACGTCTGTTTGATTGGTGTCCCCCGCCCCCCACAGCTATTCCGAAGTCTTTCCATCCAGTTCCAAGCGTATACAGAGCAATTCTGGTCAATTTCCCATCTTTGAAAAAGAAGCAAGAATCAAGAGAAAAAAACCCAAAAAACAAAAGAAAACCCAAACTCCAGCCCCACGGTGCCCACACACATGACGAGGACGATGCGAGCCAGGGCCACAGGACGAGCACGCAGGGGTCACAGTTGCCATGTCCCAGGTCATAGCCATCCTGTCGGGGGCGGCCTCCCCCACTGCGCTCCGCCCAGGCCACCGCCCAGCTGGCAGGATTCTCGCTGGGAAGACTGGGGTGGGGGCTGAGCACGGGCGGGGGAAGGTCCAGAGAGAGAGAGGAGGAAGCGGTCCTGGGAACACAGTGCATGCCACCAGGTCACAGCGCGTCTCCGCCGTGGCGGAGTCCTGAAAGCGGTCGGGTGGTCGGGCCCCTCGGGCCACATAGTGGGGGGGGGACGGTTCTGGGGTCCCACGTGTGCAGCTGCCGGCACCACCTCGGCCAGGAGAAATCAAGGAAAACCAAAACAGGTTCCTGACCCTCCCTTGCCCATCCGCACGAACCAAAAACCCCAAGTGGAGAAAGGTGACTTTCTTTTCTCTTTCCAAAAAAGGCCTTTTGAAAGAAACCACCGATTGTAAACTGCCCAGTTTATTATTATTATCATTATTTTTAGATGGCTACAAAGACAGCGTGAGACCTCACACCTAGACTATAGCTTTCCTGGTGGAAGGGCTTGGGTACAGACAGACAGCAGGGCTTCGGGTTTTTTTTTTTTTTGTTTTTTTTTTTTTTTTTAAAAAAAAAAAAAAAAGGGTTGGATGGGGGTGGGGGGGGGGGGGCTTGCTAAAAGCTTCCATTTTTAAAAATTTTCCCCCCAAAAAACCCCCCTGAAAACAAATTAAAAAATCCCAATAACGGTAAAACCCCAAACAAACAAACAAAAAAAGTGTCACGTACATAAAAGGTCCTTTTGGGAATGGGCAAGGGGTGGGATTTTTCTGGTCACTGACTTGAAATATATTTTTATTTTGAGTTTTGTCCTTCATGTTTTATGGAATAAAAAGTTCGGCCTTTTTATTGCATGAAACTAAAACTGGGACAGGTGGGGGGACTGGAGGAGGAGGGTGGGGGCTGAGGGGGAGCAGGGAGACGCCCCTCCCCAGCTCCTGGGTAATGACACCTCACTTCTTCTTGCATAATTTCTGGCATCTTCCCGCCTGAAATGCCGGCTCTCTCAGCGTCTCGGAGAAGAGGAGGGGATCACACGCTCATCGTCATGCTTGGAGAATAATTGTCATTCTGGAAGGAGTGGAGGAAGTTCCCTCCTAGCTCACCGTCGTCCCGAGGGGTGCCTGGAGGGTTGCTAATGCCACTTATGTTGTTAGAATTTTTTGGAAGTCCATCTATGTCACCTGACCTTAACGATCCATTCATGTGGTGTGGCTCCATGCCGCCCATGCCTCCCATCGGGCCGTCCGAGCCTGGACCCATCGGGAAGTTGGACCGGCTGCCTCCAGGCGGCACCGGATTAATCATTGTGTAGATGTTGTCACTGGAATTTGTTGAATCTGCAGGACTAGGCATGATGGGTGTTCCTGGGGGGCCACCACCACCAGGAGGTCCCACGTAGGTACCAGGTGATGAGGAGGAGTATGGAATTGAGTTAGCACTGTTAGGATTTGGCCAGGGTCTGCCAGCTCCCGGACCCATGTTAATCCCGGGCATGGCGGGGCCGAGGGAGTTGGGTGGTGGTCTCGTGCCGCTGCCATAATTCTGTGGGCCGGGCCCCATGGGCCCCATGCCTCGGGGAGGGTTCATTCTCTGCATTGATCCTCCCATGTTGGGGTGCCCTTGTTGTCGGGTGGGATCCATGGAATTGGGCAGCAGTGGCTGGGTCCCAGGAACTCCTCCCGGAGGCTGAAAGAAACCCGGCGGGATGGGGCCTCCCGGCATCCCATCGTTGGGGGGAATGTTGCCAAGCACGGGGCTCGGGGCGGCTGCCGCACTGTAATCATGAAAGGCTTTTGCTTCACTCGAATGTTCACAAGTGTCTCGCCTTTCAGGAGCTGCACAGTAAAGGTCCCAAAATACGCACCACCACGAGTGCAAAAACCCAGGCGGTTCTCCCAACGTGATGTTTTTTTCCCATCGAATCTCCGACAAGAAGGTCTGTGCAGATTTCTGTGCTCCTACGTGCAGTAAATATTCGTAGACGTATAAAGCTAACTTTTCCCGAGCCTGCCCGTCCGAGGGCACCGCCGAGCCTTTGCCTTTGGCAAACATGGTTTGCAGAGAAGAGGGCGCCGAGCCTCGCCGCCGCCGCCGCCGCCGCCGCCGCTACCGCTCCGGCTGCTCCCGAGCTGCCCCCTCGCTCCCGGCCCCCTCCCCGGCCTCGCTCGCTCGCCCGCTCGCGCTCTCCTCCCCATCTTTTCTTAATAGTACTGTTTCAGTGCCCAACACCTTCCAACTCCAAGTTTTTTAAAGAGAGAATCCAATTGGCTCAGCTCATAGGTTCACCTGTCCAGCTATGGTCCAATCAACTTTGGTCATAGCAACACTTCAACTATGTGTGGTTTTAGATAAAAGACTTGACCCTGTAGAATAAAATCACGTTGTCTGTGAAGCACAAATAATCATTCTTAACTCACAGTCAGTGGGGTTGATAATGTTATCCTTTTCCTTTATTATATTACTCAATTATTCATTGATCATCCATTTCACCCAGAAAAATGGATATTCATCATTCATATTTCTTAAATTATATTTAAATTATTTTTTCCTCAAATTTTATAGTACTTTTTAGGAAAATAAAAATAAAATATACCAATAAGCTCAATATTCCAGGAAAAGTATAAATGTGGATGACTATATTGTAAATTATCCGAGAAAAAGGAAGAACTGATAATTATAAAATTAACTCAACAATCACTAATACTGCCATTTAGTTTTAGGCCCTTTAAGAATTATTTTAACAAGTTCAACTTTTCTCTGTGTGGTATAACACATAAACTACAAAATCATAAGATTTTTTTTCCCCTTTGATCAGCATCTCTTGATGTATCCCAAGATCTTGAACCATAGGGGGAAAGAAGACAAATGTTTTCCTAAAACCTAATATGTCCTGGTCCCCAGTCCATATATGCTCCTTTAATCCTGACTGCAGCCTGGGTAAGGATGTAGGAGAGTTAAGATACGTGTGGAAGATGATGGAATTCTCACTTCCCTTTACAAAAGGGTTATTTTGTTTCCATAAACCACTGAGGGATAACAGTGATAGAGATTTCATGAAATAAAAAAAAAATAGATTTTTCTTTCATAAATACTAGATTTACTTTATTAAACCATGCTCTAAAGTCATTTTGTTCTAAAATAACAAAGAGGGGTGAATCCCCTGGAATATGGGGAACTTGCTGAAAAAATATGACTTATTGTAGACTGAAATTGCCTCTGTATCTGTACCTAGAAATTAGATATCCAATCATGGTTCTTTACTATTCTTTGAAAAAACCTAATAGTGTTATTCAACATTGGAAGTAACAACCTTCCATCAGGCAGCTTCTCTGTGCCAAGTTCTGTGCCTGGCATGGGGTGAGTCCTGAATGCCATGCTCTTACACATAAGTGTCTGTTCGGATAATGAGAACTAATTCTCAATCATTTTCTCTCTCTTGCTGATGAAACTCTACAATTTATAGAATTATTAACATTCTTTATAAGTCTTAGGAGGACAAGAAAGTGGAGTTCAATGCAGAATAAATACCCCAGCTCTGCAATATTAAACAATTATCTCTAGATTTGTTTGTGCTGTGCAAAAGTGGTAGTGAAGGACCAGTAAATGTTCCTTATTTAGCATCTTTGTGTTTAAGTGCTCCTCACACGTTATAATGTCCACACAGGCCCAGGCAGTATCTGGGAGTGTTCATCACTATTTGAAAGTCTTGGGGTGGGGATTCTGGAATGAGGAAGGGGAGGAGAGGGGGGTGTTAGTGGATACAGGCAATATGCTTACTTGATTTTACTCCAGACTCAGACCCTGGAGACAAGCTCACAGGCTGAGCCTAAAAAGATTCTTCCTTTCCTCTCAAGCCATTTTTTTTTTAATCCACATGCAATGTTGGTATCTTCACCACAGTCATCCTAGTACATTATATATGTGACAGAGATAAAGCAGAGCCATGATAGTTTCCCTATTTACATGTTAAGGCTTTAAAGATAAGGAGCTGAGGAATTAAAATGCATAGTTGACTTCAGAGTCACTACCGGGCATCATGCTTCAAACACAGCCACTGCCTGAAGACTCAAATGCAGGGAGGGGCTGGGGTGACTGCTCTTTACTCACCATGTGACCTTGAACAAGTCTTATATCCTCTCTGAGTATCTGGTTTTTCATCTATAAGGTTATGTATCTGTCTTGCTGTGGGAACAGGAAGGATGTGAACAGAGGTGATACTCAAAAGACTTAACATTTGATGAAGCATGTGTACTGTGTAATCAGAAGGGATTGAGACCTTAACACTCTGGCAGGGTCCAAAGGCCTCCATTGTGCTGTGCCATGTATTAACCCTTTGGGTGCTCAACCAAAGAGAGGTGGAGGGGATCCTAAAGAAACAGCAGGGGCCTGGAGATGGGGTCAGACGGGAGGGATAATGATAGTCAATTGTCTTGGAGCAACAGCTGTTTACCAATCTCAACAGAATTATTTGAATACTTTAACAACTGATCCTGCTATTCCTGTACAAACCAGCTTAAAAAATAGCCTGTGTTTGAAAATTACATAAACTTGTCTATGTAAAGTATTTAGCATTTGGTCCCACTCAGAAGTAGGCCCCCAGCAAATGTAGCTTGCTTCTTTCCTCTCCCTAGCTGTTTGCCATGCAGCCCACCAGGTCCCTCTGTGGTGTACAACATCATTACTTAGATCCTCGTCTACATAGCCTATCTCTCTTCACAATGGGTTTTTATAGACGTGAAAAGTTACAGGTTGATTCTCAACACCTTGAAGTCAAAGTACTTGCATGCCTTTGCAGATACAACTCCACCCTGGCTTTTGAACTGGCAGTGTGGTTGGGGTTGAGACCAGAACTCTTCAGGGCATGAGGTGGTTCTGACATGGTGGAGACCAAAGACCACAGGAATCACCAGACCTCAGGTGGAAGATGACGGTAAGATTTTGGACAAGCTGCTTCCCTTAGGGGAGCCTCAGCCTCTTGCCTGAAAAAAAGGAGGAATTCTGGCTGAGATTAGTGGTTCTCAGCCTTGGAAGCTCAACCACCTGGAAGCTTTAAAATAATATCTGTATACCACTCCCAGAGACTCTGATTTAGTAGTTTGGGGTGAAGCCTAGACTTTTGGGACTTTTCAAAGTCCCCTGGGTGATTTTGATGGGTAGCAAAAATCGAGAACCTCTGGACAAGAGGATCTATAAGCTTCAGTCCTGCTCAATATATTCAATTAGCCCCTGATTCTGCATGCCCTTAAAGCCCATCAGAAAACTGCATTCATGTGGCGCTCTCTTAATGATCAGGCAACAGGAGGCCTGAGAGCTAATGAATAAGAGAGCTTTAGTGTTTATCCTATGCGTATAGCTTCTGCTGTGTTATCACCAGAAATTACTTTTGGATAAGTTTGGTATTTTTTGTTGTTGTTTTGTCTTGTTTTGTAGACATTTTGTTAAAGCTGACAATTTCTCACACTGAAACTAAAATGGCGATTTATTGTGATTCCATCATCTCTGCGGAATGACTGAGAAAGGACAAAATTAGGTTACAATGTGTAGTTGGCCTGACAAAATTGTCTTTTCTTAGCTAAACTCCTCTCACTAACTCCTACTATCGCTGATTCCAGGGCTTTGCAAGGCTTTTTAACAGAATTACATAGAAATTCATGTGCCTGATGGATAGTTCTACAGGGAAATGGTGAGATATTAAGACTGTAGGGTAAGCTGGTCTCTAATGGTATTAAGTTCAACACGTGTTGGCTTCTCAAGTGACTTTTATGAACTAATAACCACAGAGTGGTGAAGGACGACGACCAGGTTCAGACGTAGCTCCACCACTTACTGTCTGAATGCAGAGGCCTTGCATATAGCCAACACTAGTTCTTGTTTATCCTTTGATGTAGCAATTAACATGTAAGAAAATATAAAATGGCAGCCACGAGAAACATGAAGAATCTCAGAGGAGCAGACTTTTAAAGGCTAAGAAAGGACTCTCATTTAGTTCTCTCCTTTCAAAGACCCAGAAACTGAGCCCAGGGAACTGAAGTGAATTCCTCAGGGTTACACAGCTTGTTACCTGGCAGAGCTTACACTTGAACCAAGCTCATCTGGCACCCAGCCCAGGGCTCTCTCCTGTGTGTGTCACAGCAAACCAAATGGAAACCAGGATTGCAATCAGATGCAAGAAAACCCCTGCTACAGTAGCTTAAACAAGTAAGAGATTTGGCTTTTGAATGTAGATTGGGGGTAGGGGCCTGGGGCTTGTGTGGGTGCTCGCTAATGCGCTCAGGGACCCAGACTCCTCGTTTTCAGCTCTGCTATCCTCAGCATCCTCTGCAGCCTGACTACCTCAGCCCAAATCCTGCCTTTATCACTTGTTAACTATGAAAATTTGGACAAGTTACCTCATCTTTCTATGTCTCAGTGTTCAAATTTTAAAGTAATAATTGTTATAAGATTTAAATGAGTTTATCTATAGAAAGTGATTAGAAACATCTAGCTTAAAGTCTAATTATGTTAGCTATTGTTAAGGTTGTAGTTTCTGTTACAAGATAGCTGCAGTACCATCAGCCATCATTCCTGCTTTCCAGACAGACAGACAGACAGAAATGCCCTTTCATTGTCAAACTTTGTCTTTTCTCTTTCTTTCTTTCTTTCTTTCTTTCTTTCTTTCTTTCTTTCTTTCTTTCTTTCTTTTTTTTTTTGAGAAAGAGAGAGTGTGCACGAGTGGGAGGGTAAGGGCAGAAGAGAGCGAGAGAGAGAATCTCAGCACAGAGCTCAGTGCTGGGCTCGATCTTACAACCCTGAGATCATGACCTGAGCCAAAAGCAAGAGTCCAACACTCAACTGACTGAGCCACCCAGGCACTCCTAAACTTTATCTTTTCATTCAAGAAAACAAGCACCATCATTGAGAAATCCCTCTTGCACCTCATTGGGCAGAACTAAGCCACATGCCTATACCTGTCTGAAAAATGTATAGGAGACCACATATGTAGACATGTTGCCATCCTCAACAAAACAGTGGGTTAGTAAGTAAGAGCAGGGTGCATGGATTGAATACAAATTCTCCAGTGATCTTAGGATCATTGCTAATGCCAATGGTCTTCACACTTCCTAACTATAATTTGACCTGAGGATCCCTGC